CTTTCGGGTGGGGGGGGGGGGGGGGGGGGGGGGGGGTATCCTAAACCCTGAACCCCAAAACCCGATAAACCTTTGGATGGTGTTGGCTGCCTTGAATATGGCCTAAACCCTAAACCCAAAACCCTGCACCCCAAACCCCAAAGACCCTGTCGTTCAAACGACTGGCCAGCACGACCGTCCGTGGCCTTCTTGATGCCATCCGTCCTGCTCTGCAGCATCTTAGAGACCCCAACGAGAGTTATAATTTGGGATGTTCCCCCTTATACTAACCTTTTCGGGTTTTCGGGTTGGGGATGTTCCCCTCTCATGGGGACTGTAATGGGGACTATAATGGGGGGGGGGGGGGGATTACAGGGCTGTTAATATAATGACGTGGGATGTTATAATCCCCATTAAGGGCTGTTAGTATAAGGGGAACATCCCAAGCTAAGGACAAGAGCAACGCAGAGGGCGTGGTAAAGGTTGAGTTTGTTTCGGAGTGGTTGCTGGAGGCAATTCAGCCGCGCTCAGGCGTACATCCCAAAGACTGGAACCCCACTTTCAGCCCGAACTTTCGAGAGCCGACGCTGCAAGCGCCAGAGCTCTAAACCCTTTGCTCGCGGCATCGTCCTCCAAAGGAGGCGAGTCTCCTTCACTTCCTTGTCAGCCTGCCGAGCTAGATATATGGGGTTTTCGAAAATAGGGGAAATAAAGACCACCCCCATAATAAGATCCTCTGATAATAGAACCCCAAGAAGGTACCCCGACTGCAAACCTTGCTACTCCGACTACGCAGCCGAGGGGGTAGGGCATCAAATTGACATGTGTCAGTTTGCTTCAAAGGTGCCCCCTGAATGCCAAGCTGCAGAGAAGCATCACTTTTGTACCAAGCCCTTGCGAAGGTGCTAAGGGCTCATCAAGGTATGAGAAGATCGATTTCCTCCTCTCGAGCTAAGCCCATGGCAAACGATCGCCAATGGCTCGTTTCGATCGCTTTCGGACACGCCAGCACTGCTTCCAAGTAGTCAGTTCTCTTACATAACTTTGGCCCCTTCTCGGGGGTACCTCGTTGCTATATGGCCCGGTATGTTTCGTGCACCCAATAGAAGGGCCAGCGCATAGAGAACCGGCCATTCGGCCAGAAAGTTTCAAAGGGTTCAGGGGCTTACGGGTCTAGAGCTCCCAGCCTTCCAGGAAGCCACCAGTTGTTCCACATAGCCTCCCAGCACCTCGCGGGAGTTGGGGTTAGGTTGTTTTCTCGAATCCAAAGCCCGAAACCCTCGAATCCCTAAACTCCTTGAGCCCTTGGGTTTTGTAGGGCTCTAGGCCCGGCACTCTTTTGGGAGGACTGCAGGAGTTCTACGCAGGAATTAGGAAAGTCAGGAGGGGGGCCTGGCCGTGTCGATAGGGGTTGAGGCGTGGAGCAGGACCGCTGGTGGGTTGAAGGGCTTTCGAGGCGAAGGCTGGGGAAACTCAAAGCCCGAGTTGGGTTTGGGGTGTAGTGTGTAGGGTGTAGGGTTTAGGGTTTGGGGTTTGGGGTTTGGGTGCATCGGGCTGTCGAGGTGGGGAGGTGCTGAAACTGCCGAGCTGCAGTTTAAGAATCACGGATAGAGAGTCTGAACAAGAAGCTTAATGTTCATGCTGACTGTTGACGGCTAGGAGATTTCCCCCAAATGTTCGGCCACAGCTCATCCGAGGAGGTTTAGGGTTCGGGGTTTCGGGGGCTTGGGGCTTCGGGTTTCGGGCTTATGTGGCATAGGGTTCCGGTTCTAGGGCTTATATATATATATAGGGTTATGTTAGAGTCTGGGGGGTCTTGGGGTTCGCGGGCTTGGGGCGGAGGTTCATAGTTGGAGGTTTAAGGAGGTTGCAAGTAGGCGCCTCCACTGCTTGCGGAACCAGGAGCAGGTGCCCGTTCTGTATTCCTCAGCAAACTCGCCGTCCCAATGTATGCCTAGCCCTCATTCGGACCAGGGTTTAAGGTTTAGGGTCTAGGGTTTAGGGTTTAAGGTCAGGTTCCCCAGTAATCTAGGAGAGAAAACGGCACCCTTTTTGGTAGAATTTGGTGTAGCCGGGATCCGATGCCTAAAAAAGGAAACAAGGGCACTACTGTGCGTCGAGTACCCCAGGATCCTCTAACCAAACCCTGAAACTCCAAACATCCTGAGCTCTAAAGTATGCAAAACGCCCGCAAACCCACCTCGAAAGGGGTTCACAGCTTTGTAGGGCCTAGTAGGGTTTAGCATGTAGGCTTCAGGGCACCCTAAACCCTAAACCCTAAACCCTAAACCCTAAACCTTAAGCCTCTCTTTCATATATAATTTAAATGTTAAGGAGTTACTGGGCAAGGTCGCCGTTTTACTGGGCAAGGTCGCCGTTTTACTGGGCAAGGTCGCCGTTTTACTGGGCAAGGTCAGTTCGGTCAAAAAAATCGACCTTGCCCAGTAAAACGGCGACCTTGCCCAGTAAAACGGCGACCTTCGGGGCCTTGCCCAGTAGGTAGCATTTTTACTGGGCAGGGGGGGGTGTCCGAAGGTCGCCGTTTTACTGGGCAAGGTCGCCGTTTTACTGGGCAAGGTCGCCGTTTTACTGGGCAAGGTCAGTTCGGTCAAAAAAATCGACCTTGCCCAGTAAAACGGCGACCTTGCCCAGTAAAACCTTCCGCCCCTGCCCAGTAAAAATGCGACCTTGCCCAGTAAAACGGCGACCTTCGGGGCCGAAGGTAGCATTTTTACTGGGCAGGGGGGGGGGGGTGTCCGAAGGTCGCCGTTTTACTGGGCAAGGTCGCCGTTTTACTGGGCAAGGTCGCTGTTTTACTGGGCATGGGCAAGGTCGTTCTATAAGTAAAATATTTTCTTAATGTTGTGGGATTCTTTGGGCGGGTGGGTATTTTCCTGGAGTAATTGCTTGACTAGTGAATGCTTGGACTTGAGATGCTGAAACCCTAAACCCTAAAGCCTAAACCCTAAACCCTTCCAAGGGTTTAGGGGACACCGCAAGCCACGAAAGCCCAGAGAAGCTTCGACCAAGCCCCGGACGCAAGGCGGCTTTGCCAGTGGAGTAGAGTAGCAGCTTCGTGCCCGGCCTTTGACACACGCCATGAGGCTTAGAATCCGAAACCCTAAACCCTAAACCCTAAACCCTAAACCCTAAACCCTAAACCCTGTACCCTAAACCCCAAACCCCAAACCCCAAACCCCAACCCTAAACCCTAAACCCTAAACCCCAAAGGATTTACAGGGATGGGGTTTAGCTTACGTCTCAGGAGCCGAGAATTGCAGATCAAACCCATCGTGTAGCTTTGATCTACCGGGCATAAGTGGAGGTCCTGAACCTGATTAACCCTGTAAACCCTACAAACCCTACCAACTTTCCCCTTTATACTGACAGTGTATATAGTACCCTTTATAATCCCTAGTAAGGACCGCTAGGAACATCCCGACTCCATGAGCACTAACCTTTGTGATGCGAACTGAGCCCACGGCGGCAGCTGCACGCTGAGATCCTTGACTGACTGGAACTCGATGGCCTCCACTAACAACGTCAAGGGAGTGGTGGAGGGTTTAGGGCCTAGGGTTTAGGGTTTAGGGTTTGGGGTTTGGGGTTTGAGGATGTTTCCAAGCAGCGTTTTAGTGCTTCGGTTTGGGAATGGCTAGCTGCTTGTTTTGGGGGGGAGACAGGTTGGCCTTCGTGCTCTGGTGGGGCGTAGATTGCTCAGAAAAGTTGCAGGCCACCAAGCAGCTCAGAAACCAAACCCTAAACCCTAAACCCTGAGCCCTAAACCCTGAGCCTAAACCCCAAACCAACCCAGACCGGGATCTCCTGGCACCTGCCTTGAACTTCTGATCGCCGGCCGCCAGGTCCAAGGAAAGGAGGCGCCACTTGCCGCCCTCGAACTCCTCCTGGAACCTCGGAGGCTTATAGGGTTTAGGTATTTTTCGGGAATCCCCTGGCTGCAGTTTGGAGCTTGGGGTCTGGGGTTCCTTACTGTCGGCTAGTAGGGAATGGGGGAATGAGGTACCCTAGATAAACAGATATGAAATAGGGTATATATTTCTTGTACCCCCCAAAAGGACACCAGGTATATACACTCACCAATATGAAAAAGGAACCTTATATACACTCACCAAAAACAGAAATATAAACCCTGCTTCATATATGGGTACCTCATTCCCTCATTCCCTACTAGCCGACTCTAAGGTTCGACGTGCGGGGTGGGTGTAGGGCGAAGGGTTTGGCCTATCGGTCACGTCTGTGTCTATACTGCAAGCCCTTTAAACCCTCTAAGCCATAGGAGCTCTATAAGCCCAAAAAAGCCCTATGAACCCCCATAAACTCTAAAGTTTCTTGCTTTTTCTTTCTGTGGGCGGAAGCCGTCGCAGTGGTCCAAGGGTGTTTTACAGTTTTTTTGTTTGAAGGGTTTTGGGGTTTGGGCTTCAGGCAGCGCTGTAGGTCCTTAGGGCACCCGAATTTCTTAGTTCGGGCTGAAAGCTTAACGCCTAATAGGAGCTAAGGATTTAGGGGCGATATCGTGTCCCCTTCCCCATGTATGGGAACCCCCAAACCCTCAACCCTTAACCCTAACCAAGAGCCTCTCAATCCGACCTCTCAGGATTCCGAGGCAAACTTACGGAGAGGCTCAGGGCACCTTTTCGGGTTTAGAGTTAGGGGTCTACGGGGGTCGTAAACCCTAAGCCCTGAACCCAAACAACCCTAAACCCTTCTGAGGCAGTGACTTCGTCGGCTGCGTGATGTCGGCCACCTGCAAGAGGTCTGCTGTCGAAGTCGCAGGTTGAGGGCTGAAGGTTTAGGACATAGGACCACACAAGTTATTACCCTACTTCATCCCTTGAATGTGCGTGTATAACCGCAACATGAGTCAGCAGAACACACACACACTGCAATTCATGTAGGCCACTTCTTTTGTCGTCTCCACACCGCAGCACACTCTGAGGCCTGTTGTCTGGGGTCTTCCATGTTCTGCCCAATTGGCAGAAGCACAGAAAAGAAACAGGATCCTTCTACTCCGTAACTGGCATATTTAAGGGAATGGAGCGAACAAACAAAAAACCCTGGCAAAGCTGGTATATCCTGTCTCCACACACCAAAGAAAGGTGGTCTCCACCCCCGTTGACAAACCGACTTTGCGATGCAATCGTGTCCAAGAAGATCGGGTGGGCGAATCGGAGCTCTCCAAGCACTCGATGTGCCAGGGCCTGGTCTCCATCCTCCGCGGCCGCATCAAGCCGCGAGGCGTACCAACGTGACAAATGCGTTTGGAGCCGGCCATACAGCAGAAGCGATGACAGCACCTGCATGGTAGGGACGGCCAGATTCAGGAGTCCCACCACCAAACTGCCGCCCTCTACGGCCAAGTAAATGATGGCCAGCCCGGCCTGGGGCACGTTTTCCACGAGCAACATCTCCCGCCTCGTGGGACTCAATTGCTTCGCGAGCAGCGCCACTAAGCTCTCCCACCTGCCAGGCCTGCTAGGCCTCACCCTTTCAGCCACATCAGTTTCCTTAGCGAGGTCCAAGTCCGAATCCAGAGCAGTTGTTGAAATGGCGAACACTGACAAGTGGCTGGCCACCATGTCTGAGAGGCATATGCTACGGCAACAAATCAAGTAAACGTGGAAGGCGAGCAGATACACCCAGCTAGCCCAGCCTACAACATGCAGCCCGACATGTGCCGACTGCAGGCAAAGACCTCCGAAGATGATGTCCTTCAACGAGTCGAAGGAGTCTGATACGAAGGGGCAGAGGCCGGTAAACATGGCCTCAGCAAAGGCGGTGATTGAGTATCCTCGGCCTGTTTGCAGTGTCACTGCCAGCACAACGGCCTGCAGCAACATCCACGAGCAGCCCGCGCAAAGCAGGAGCGTGTAGGATTCCCACGAAAGGCCTGTCTCCTTGGTCAGGCTGTCATCAAGAATGCCGGTGACTGTCGCCGCAAAGCAGAATGCAGCGGTGAAGCCAAACACCGTCGTGACCTGCAACCCGCGTCTGCGGGTTGACACCGCCTCGGGGTGTGGCGGTTCTCGATATGAAGGCTGACGTTTCAACTGATCCGTTGCTTGCACTGCTACCCCAAACTGGGTAGACAATGCCCTTGCTCTTTCCTCCTCTTTCCTTTGCTCCCGCTTCATCCGCAAACGGCTTCGGCAGGTAGCAAGCCTGAGGATCGCCGTGCCGAGGAGGCACGTAACCAGGGACATGGCCAGCATGATGAGGATGAAGTATCCGCTGCGCCGGTCAAGGCCGACGGCGTGCAGTGTGGCATCGACATGGTTGGCAGTGGAGTTGCTCGCGTCCATGCGGAAAAACCTGGAACAAGCTCACCTTTGGTGAGGCAGCGCGGGTAGTAAAACCTCCGTCCCTGTGCTGCTTCCTGGTTGAACCTTTCTAACAAAAGGCTGCGCGCGAAGGTGGCAAGCCTGAGAAGCCCCTGCAGCGTATCCGGCAAGATTCCTGAATTTGACTGCGTCCTAATGACCCTTCTTCCCTCCCGCACCGAATCCTGGTGGCCCGAGCTGGTGCGACGTTATAGCTCCAAGGGCCTTCTGAACCTTTTGCCTATAGCTGTGGTTTCTTGTTTACAATGTCTGTCAACCGATTTAGAAAGGCACTTGACATTTCTCCAACTCCCCAGGACACAGCCTTTCAGCGCAGGCCTCGCTTGTAATTACATCGGTTCTTCAACCCTTGTTCGGAATCCGAGACCTGAACCAATTCTCCACAGGCCGCACCCTGGTAAGCCCTGCATCTTGAGCCACGAACCCTCAGCCCACAAATGGGAGGGGGGTTTTCCCAAAGCAGGGGCCCTTAGAAACGGGATATTACAGTGTATTTGGTGCATTCGAAGGGTGCAGCCTAGAGCCTTCAAAGCCTAAAGCAAATTTTCGGAAACACCCACAGGAAGGCGCCTTCTGTATCTGAACGAGATATTGTCCAGGCCTCTGCTGCAAGGGAGAGGCGGGTCGTTCATGGTACTTAGAGCCCAATTATAGCGGCACTTATCACCCACTGATAAGCCCCTTAAGTGCCCTAATGTGGTGATTAACTGGGTGATAGTACAGTTCTATTTGGGTTCTGAAGTACATTGAACCTCCAAGTAGGGGTTCAGTGACGAGACTTGCAGAAGGCAATTTAGGGAGTGTAGGGTTTAGGCAGAAGGGAGTTCAGAGAATGTAGGGGGTTTAGGGTTTAGGGTTTAGGGTTTAGGGTTTAGGGATTAGGGTTTAGGGTTTAGGGTTTAGGGTGGGTTTAGCGACTTTAGCGTTTAGGGGGGCTCGGGGGATTTCAAGGTCCGGGACTTTTTAGGGCTTCGCTTGCGGTCTGAGATTCGATGCGTTTAGGGAGGGCTCGGTAATGCAGAAGGAAAGACTAGAAACAGTCGAGTGATCCTTAAATTAAGTCTCCCACCGTGAGCCCCTAACCCTAAAACCCTGAACTCCCTCAACCCTGAGGGAGCCGGGAACGAGTTATCATGTTTTGTTGTTCGTTTTTTGGGGTTATCAGGGAGTCCGGGGTTGAAGAGTTTAAGGTGTTAGGGTTTAGGGTTTAGGGTTTAGGGTAGGGGTTTGTAGGGTTTAGGGTTTGGGGCGGTTGGGGGTGGGCTGAATGCTGGGCTATTGCTGCGGCTAATACATTGTGGATACCATGTATCTTTTTATGTCGTATTATTGAATATAAGATACTCGTAGTGACTAGGCTTGTTATTTGAATGAAAAAAAATTGGGTTTAGGGTTGAGGGTTTAGGGTTTAGGGTTTGGGGTTTGGGGGTGGGGGGGGGGTGGTGAGGTGGGGTTGGGAGATTAAGGGGTCATTGTTGAGGTGAAGGAGGAGGGTCCATGGCCGAGTACGTCTCATGCCCTGAAACCTCAACCCCAAGCCCCTTCAACCTTATACACCCTAAACCCTAAACCCGACATCCTATATGAACCTTAAGCCCTAAGCCCTAAGCCCTAAGCCCTAAGCCCTAAGCCCTAAACCCAAAACCCAAAACCCAAAACCCAAAACCCTAAACCCTAAACCCTAAACCCTAAACCCTAAACCCTAAACCCAACCCCTAAAAACTTAAAAAAAAACACCTAAAGCCCCAAACCTCTGTGCAGCGGCGTGACGGAACCTCGCCTGAGTTGATGCGGGTGATCTCCTCGAGTTGCTTTCCCCCTTTTTAGAGGTTTGGGGTTTGAGGTTAGGGGTTTAGGGTTTAGGGTTTAGGGTTAGGGGTTTAGGGTTTAGGGTTTAGGGTTTAGGGTTTAGGGTTTTGGGTTTAGGGTTTAGGGTTTAGGGTTAGGGTTAGGGTTTAGGGCTTAGGGCTTAGGGTTTAGGATTTATGTCTTATTGATATCCCCCCTAAACTGACCTCCGGAAACATCAAAGGCCCCAAATGCGGTTTCGAGTGTAGGGTTGGATGCAGACTATATCACACCCTAGTAAACCCATTATAAGGATGCTATAGGGCTGCTATAGCGAGAGGAGTGTCCACCCCAACTTCCTCTGCGCTTCACAAGCATACTTTACGATGCTGCTAGCGGCTGCTAGCGTGGCTACAGTCAGGGAAGATGTGTTGAAGCTTGAACTCACCCTAAACCTTATAAACCCTATACCCTTGAACTCTATATGCGCATCCCTGAACCCCGGTGTGTCAGCAGCCCAGGCAGAGAAAGGGTTCTTCCCACTTTCTGGGTTCAATTAAGTAGGTTTACAAGTGATCTGAACACCAGGAAAAGATAGTAAGCGCTAACAAGGCGTCCCACTAAACCCTAAACCCTAAACCCTAAACCCTGAACCCTAAACCTTAAACCCTGAACCCTAAACCCTAAACCCTGAACCCTAAACCCTAAAGCCTTGCTAAGCTACTGCCACATCGTCCTTGGGCAGCTGGCTGGCGTGTTTCAACTTCCGGAGATCCGAATCCTGTCCGTGGCCGCTTTATTGAGGGCACCCAGGTCCATGTGGGGTTTAGGGTTTAGGGTTTAGGGTTTAGGGTCTAGGGTCTAGGGTTTAGGGTTTGGGGTTTAGGGCCTCGGGCTTAGGGGAGGAGAAGGCCGGGCGGGGGCAGGTAGCGTCATATGATTACTTGTCGGCAGGACTTGGGGGTTTCGCCTGTTTGGGTGTAGATGATTTCTAGGGCTAAGCCCAAGATGGTCAGGATGTCAAGTGGCATTCTCACACACGGCAAAAAAGCTGCGCCATGTCGATGCACGAGCCTAAACGCTCTGTGCCCCGCATGCGCACCCCCCCGCCCCCCGGCCCCCCGCCCTAAACCCCAAGCCCTACAGGGTGTTCGTCAAGATAGGGCTTGGGGTTTAAGATTTCGGGGCAGGCTGCGCTTCTACTGTTTCAAAAGTGCTTGATCCGAGCTTGGGAACTTCATGTTCCTAGCTAGGGTTTAGGGCTTTTGGGATTTAGGGTTTAGGGTTTAGGGTTTAGGATTTAGGGTGTTCCGGTATTCGGCTCTAAGGGTATTGGGACCAGGGAGGCCTTGATGTACTCCTGGATGTCTTTGCGCGACGTGGAGTAGCCCTGCCAGGATTGTGGGTCAGGGAGCTTGCGCTTTGCATGAAGGGCTTGGGCTTTTTTGCGTTCAAGGAGTTGACGGTTTTAGGTTTAGGTTTCTTCGGCGTCAGGGAGCTTGACGTGCAATGAGTTTAGGGGGGCCTATGGGGACTAGATTTGGGGCTTCAACAGATCATTCGGTCTAAAGTGACCCGCCCTGAACGTCCCTCCGCCCCCCCGGCCCCCACCCCCAACCCTAAACCCCTAAACCCCAAAACCCCTAATCCCCAAAACCCCCAAACCCCAAAACCCCTGAACCCCTACACTCCTACACTCCTACACCCCTAAACCCTAGCCCTAAACCCTAGCCCTAAACCCTAAACCCTAAACCCTAAACCTCCTAAAGTCCAATTCCCAAACCCCAAAGCTGCGGCGCCTGCTCGGAGATTTCCGCCTTCGAGGCCTCTGTCAGCTCCAGGCCCCAAGCCGAACTGGGCAAAAGGAGGGGTTTGGGTGGGGGGTGGGGGGGGTTTAGGGTTTAGGGTTTAGGGTTTAGGGTTTAGGGTTTAGGGTTTAGGGTTTAGGGTTTAGGGTTTAGGGGTTTGGGTTTAGGGTTTAGGGTTTATAGGGGGTTTATAGGGGCTTTAGAGGGGGTTTATAGGGGGGTCTAGGGTTTAGGGCTTGGGGCTTGGGCTCGGAGGGTTCGCGGTCGGCTGGCTTGTAGGCTCGTTGCCGTTCCTCAAGTAGATCGGACTGGTTCTTCTTGTGAAAACCGGGCATGATCTTGAGCTCTTTGCAGACTTCAACATTCTCGGCGGACTTCTCCTTTCCCTTTGTCCTCTTGGTTCGGGTCTTGGGTATCACACCGAGTACTTCGCCGTGGGACACATGTGAGTGATGACCTTCTGCAAAGAACGGACGATCATCTCAAGGTCTGAGCCAAACCGCTGCTGGAGCTTCGCACCCTTTGCACGACCAAGGTGCTGAGAGGTGGTCTTGATCGACTTGAGGAACTGCTTTAGCGATCAGACACTGACACTCATGGTCTGCTTAGGGTGTTCGGGTTTAGAGTTTAGGGGTTTCGGGTTTAGGGTTTAGAGTTTAGGGGCTGAGGGTTTAGGGTTTAGGGTCTGGCTGCCCCCTCCACCCCAAACCATTATTGGAAACACGCTGCGCTGGAGCCTAGGGAGTTCACCTTTGGGAGGGCCATCGAGACCACGCACCCTGACCTTCCAAACCTCCATGGAGCCTATCCTAAGGGGGCCAATCCTCCTCACAAGCCAACCCCAAAATCCAAAGCCATAAATCATAAAACCTAAACCCTGAACCCTAAACCCTAAACCCCAAACCCGAACAAGACCTAACAGGCCCCATTGAGGGCTCATAGACCCTAAACCCTAACCTCTAACCTCTTCACCCGAAGCCCATCAATACCTGGATGCCTCCTGAACCCTAAATCAACTGATGAACTGCATCCTATCTATATAACCTATGTTGTAAACATAAATACATGTATATGTATATACATATATACATATGTATGTATGTATATATATATATATATATATATCATTTATAGTACACATCTTATGGCACGAGTAGCTTACTTTCTGTTAAGTTAGCATGGCAAGGAAACTCGAAGCATTAACTACATGTCCATCTTACGGTTGAAGTGCCTTAACCGAGCAACCTGGTACATCCGGAAACCCTCAAACCTTCAGCTCAAAACCCCGAAAACTCCCTGACCGCAGGATTCAGGGTTAAGGGTGGCTTGTGATACAGGGTGTCGGGTTTCGGGCTTCTTTTTCCGCTCAAAGCCCTAAGCCCCCTAAGCCCTGAAGCCTTGAACCACTGAATACTTCCATGATGAACCGGAACAGAAGTTGGGAGGTAAACCCAGATTCATACAGGCTGCTTCTTCCACTGATGAAGAATTTCTTACAAGCTGCTCTTGCACTGATTATAGGGGGAAGTGGTAAGCCAAAATCCCTCCCTGGTCCATGCCAGGGTGGCCTCAAGAAGGTAAAGTCCGCCATGGCGAAAGTATCCACAGAAGAAGGATTTAGGGTTCAAGATGTAGGCTTTACAGGGTTTCGCCGGAGCAGAATGTATTGGAATGTTAAGAGGCTTTGCGCCCAGTCGGGTTGTGGAGTTAAGGTGTGCTAGATGTCTTTGGGTTCTGAGGGTCTTTGGGGGCTGCGCCTTGTAGCGCTGTAGGCTGGAGGCTGAGTTGTTTTGTTCAGGGATTAGGGTGTAGGCTGCTTAGGGGTCTGGGCTGCTTAGTGTCCAGGAAAAAGTGTAGTAGTGGATATCAAAGGAATGAAAGGTTCGTGGTCCAAGTCAAGCTTGAAAATGGCTCACGCGGTATGTGCTCCGGACGTGCCCGCGGGTTACATTCCAGGCTCGTGGGTCCCCTACACACTGATAAGCTGGGGTGCTCCCCCTTGTACTAACTGTCCTTAATGGGGAATATAGTGCACCCTATTCTAATCGCTATTAAGGACTGTTAGCAGAAACGGGAACATTCCAACTTTTAAGCCCTAAGCCCTGTGAAATCAAAACCCGAAAGCACATTGAGAGTTCCAGACAGAAGACAGCCTCTTCGAGCACCCTCACCCTTGCGAAGCTACACCCTATATGCCCGAAGCCCTACAAGCTCCCATAAGCCTTCTACACCCTATCTATTCGCCCTAAAAAGCAGGCGGAATCACCCCTGAAAAGCCTATGTGAGCCACATGGAGGCAGCCCTAAATCTCCAGAAGCACTCAGACCATAACATGAGCCTTGCTGAACTTTAGGCTGCATACCCCTTGAAACCCCGAGCCCTAAACCCCGAACCTCTGAACCCTACAAACCCACCAACAACAAGCAAAACCAAACAAAAAGCCAAACGCTAAAAGCCGTCAACCTCTGAACCACTAAACCCGAGAAACAAAAAACAACAATACGAATACCCCCAAGGAGACGCCACAAAAAAACAGGTCTCTCGGATCATGGATTGCTCTGAGTTTGGTTCATGGCCCCACCATCCGATAGTTTTCTTGAGCCCGAAACAACCCCAAATCACTGAACCAAGATTCAGGGTGTAGCGTTTAGAGTTCATTTTTTGGGGGGTTTAGGGTCCAGGGTGTAAGCTTCAGGAATCGGGGCGAGATCGCTAGCCCATACTTTGGATTTTTGGGGTTGAGGCGATTTCGAGTTTCGGGATTCGGGTTCTGTCTTCATGGAGCTAGCAAGAAGTGGGTTCTGAATGGAGACGGCTTCAGGCGCGCGGCTTTCAAAACAAAAACAAAGCCCTCGGACACCACGCATGGAGTCTCATCTCAAGCAAGGCACGAGCAGAACAAACCCATGACAAGTATCATTTGGGGCTTCGGCCTCAAATTCAGGGTTGAGTTGAGGGTCGCCCAAGTCCTCGTACGCCCAGACGGGCACGCCTTGCACGGTGTCGTCCGTGACTCCCTCGGCACACCGGTGGATCTCTGGGTGCAGATGTCATGACTTCGTGTGCAAAGTCTTCAAACTTGAGTCCAGACCTTAAGCACGACCTTGTAAGCCCTACACCCTGAACCCCAAACCATGCATAGCCCGAAGCCCAAACTAAAAAAGGGCGAACCCTGAGCCCCACATGTCTAACCCCTCTAAACCTGAAGGACTATAGAGTTGAACCCTGAAGCACGCCCAGCCATATGTGGGGAGCTCTGAAAATTATGACGCCCCTTTGAGACTCCCATATCATATGGGGCCTCTCAGTGGGTTAAGCCTATCAAGCCTGGAAGCCCCAAAAAAACTCAAACCCTAAAACCCTAAAACCCTACAATTCACAAAGACTTAAACCCCTAAGCCCCTAAACCCTAACACCCTAAACCCTAAACCCGAAACCCTGAACCCCAAACCCCCCAAACGCCAAACCCCCAGAGGCTGGGCTCTGAGCCTTTTGTCGCATTGCCATCTTCGACCTCACGCCGGGGAAGAATGGGCTTAGGGGCTACATAAACTACATAAAGTCTACATTATATATATATATATATATAGGGTGTACAGACATATGTATATATATATATATACATATGAAAACACACACACACATATATATATATATATAAACAGATATATATATATATATATATATATATATGTCTATGTAGCATACACAGGCCCTGAAGCTTCTAGTGTGTCTAGCGGTCAGGATTCAAAAAACGGCTGCCAGAACCCTGCACCTTTTCACCCAAACTCCCTCAAAGCTGAAGGAGTTTCCCTGCGACTCTGCAGGCGAGAGGCTTCTCAATGAAGACTCGCTCTTCTGGTACCAGCTTCATGTTTTCCTGCTCACGCCGTAGACTCCCTAACCCTATGCCCTAAACCCTACACCCTAAAACCTCTATAGACTCCATAAGCATATAAGGCCCGAAATCCAAAAAACCGAAACCCCCCCAGGCCTCCAACTCCTAAATCCCTTCTATAACCGCCAACTGAGCCCCTAAACTTTCAGCCGACATCCTCGAACACCTGGGCCTAAGAAACAAACCTTGACATGCGATGAAGTGGGGGGGGGGTGGGCTCAGGACAGGGGAGGACACGAGGTTCAGGATTTGAGTACCCTAAACCCTTTGGCCATAAACTTTAAGGCCTACAGGGTTCAGGGTTTTAGGGTTTCTTTTCCCGATGCTGAAGTCGGCTGGCTCCCACTTGACAGCTCCTTAAGCAGGAGGCTCCTCAAACCATTGAACTTCTCAGGGCTTCAAGGGCTCATCTTATGGGTCTAGGGTTTAGGGTTTAGGGTGCAGGGGGTTTAGGGTTTCAGGTTCAGGGTTCAGGGGTTACTGTACACCCGGAAGCCCTGAAGCAACTGCGCCAGGGCTGCGCTGGGCATTTCCCAGAGATCTTCGCCGGGAAGGCGCTGTGAGGGAGGCTTCTGGGCGGCTTTGCGGGGCGAAGCGCTCTCCTTCGCCAGGTGTAGGCTGTGGAGGGCTGCAAAGGGTTGAGGGTGTAGTTTAGGGTTTAGGGTTCAGGGTTTAGGGTTCAGGGTTTAGGGTTTAGGGTTTAGGGTTTAGGGCTTAAGGGGCCTAAAGGGCATATTTCGGGCTGCGAGGGCTTTTCAGGGGGATGGAGAAGGGCTTATAGGGCTGATATAGGTTTGAGGTTTAGGGTTCGGGGTGGCTTGGGGCCTCTCGGCTTCGGATGTCGGCCTGAGGGCCTATGCAACTCAAAAGCAGCATACACTTCGGGTGAGGCGAAGTATTTCCCATATCCTCGGGTTTAGAGTTTACGGTTCTTACGGTTCATGTCCTATGTAGGTACGTGGACCTCAATGCAAAAAAGGCTGGTATTGAGGAGGAAGCGTCGAGGGATAGAGAGTTTAGGATGAAGGGTCGAGAGGTTTAGGGTAGAAAGAGTTTAATCGAAGTGGGGGGGGTTTAGGGCTTGAGGCTTGAGGGTTTGAGGACGAAGGATTTGGAAGTGTCAAAAGATGCGGGTTCTCGGTGCATGG